CACAGACGAAATGGGAAAATTTGTGCTGATTCTACTCATATGGTCCGCCAAGTGGACCGTTTAAAAGTGATGCACATGAATAAACTGAGACACGTGGCTGTAAGATAAGGCTACAAACAGCAAAATAAAATCAAGAATAAAACAAAACAAAAATTAGAAGAGCACCCCCAACCCAACAGTCAGGAGTCAGCCCCATCTTTCTATCTTCCAGTTTCAATTTCCAATTTTCCAATTTTCTAGGATTTATTCAAGCTCTGGGCCAGAGGGCCTGGGCCCCAAATTTTAAAACCTAACCCATCCCCCCAAAACATTTAAACATCTCTCTCTCTCTCTCTCTCTCTCTCTCTTTTCTGTCTCTCAAAATCCCTATCTCTTTCACCAAAAAAAAATCCCTATCTCTTTAAATATCTCCCCCACCCCACATCTCAACCATAAGAACCCTAGAAAACCCCAATCCTCTAATCCCCAATCCCACATTTCCCATCACAACAGCATCACAAAATGGCCAAAAAGAAGGTGACCCACCAACCCAAAGACACCAAACACGAAGCTCATCAGTCCCAAAGCCACAATACCCACCAAGCCACCACCATGGATGAGCCCTCAGAGAAGGTTCAGAACAATACCCACCAAGCCACCGCCAAGGATGAGCCTTCAGAGAAGGTTCAGAACCTTAAGTCCCTCAACTCTCTGCTCCTCAAGGAGACCTTTGATCGCAGGCAACAAGTTGAGTCTTTGATGCAGGCCAAGGAGGGTTTGGAATCTGAGTTGACTAGGTTTCGTGTGGAAAGTAAGTTGTTGGAGAGTGAGTTGACTGGGAAGAGTGAGGAAAATGTTGGCTTGGAGTTGGAAAAGAGTGTTTTTTGTGTTTTTGTTCTGGCTCAGATGGGTCAAATGGTGAAAGAGCAGGTTGAGATTGAGAGGGCGAAGAGCGAGAGAGATACTGAGATTGCTTTTTTGAAGAGGGAAATGAATGACCTTATGGGTAGCCTTGAAAATGAGAAGGTAAAGCTGAACCGAGTGTGCTGGGAAAGGGATGTGGTGAAGAGTGATTTTGATGGTCTTGCTGAGGAGGCGAATGGGTTGAGGTTGAAAGTGGTAGAAATGGAGAAAAAGGAGAGATTTACTGAGGATGAAGTTGAGAATCTCAAAATCCAATGTCTAGGGTTAGTGCAGGAAAAGGCTGAAAAGGAAAGAGCGGTTGAGGTAGTCATCAGAGAAAAGGATTTGGCTCAGAGGAAGCATGCTGAGTCGGAAAGAGTAACTGAGGGTTTGAAGAAGGAGATTGAAGGGATTGTCAGAGAAAAGAATGAGATTGAGAAGGAAAAACATGGGCAAGAAGTGAGACTTTTTCGATTGGAAAATGAAGTGGAGCATTTGAGTAAGGTTGAATTGAATTTGAGGAAAGAGAAGGAACTGTTGCACATTAAGGTTTTGGAGTTGGAGAAGAGTATTAATGAGGCTATGGGGAAGGAAGAGGAGAGGGAGAGGGACATTAAGGCATTAGTGGAAGAGAAGAGGGAGAAGGAGCACAGCATTGAGAGGTTAAATGAGGAAGTGAAATCACACAAGGCACTTTTAGATATGGTTACTGAGGAATTGAAAAACAAGGAGCAAAGAATCAAGGAAATGGAGCAAAAGAAGAATGAGATGGAGGAGGCGAAAGTAAATCAAGAAACTGAAATTGCTGAGCTGAACAGAGAAGTGGCTGAACAAAGGGATATTGTATCTACACTGCGAAATTCATGCAGTGGGCAAGAAGAGAAGAATGAACGATTGGTCTCTGAAGTTAGTCAACATAAAGATGCTGTTGACCGTGTTATGCAGGAGAGGTCCGAGGCTCAGAAGAGTTTGGATGGGGAGAAAAAGAAAGTGGAAGACTTGATGCTGACTATCTCAGATAGGGAGAAGACAATTAAAGAAACTGAGAAAGAGTTGGGGAAACTAAGGAATGAGCGTGACAACGTTTCTGAGAAAAATAAAGTGATGGAGAGCCGCTTGGAGTCATTGGTAAAGGAACAAGATGTGATGCAGAAGAACCTTGTTGAGGCTCAGAAGAAAATTCATGATTGGGAAGCTAAATTTGAATCAGAAGGAGCCAAACTTAAGCGAGCTTTGACTATGTTGAAGAACACTGCAGCACTGGTATCTTCTAAGTCTGAAGGTAAGGAAGAAGTGGTTGCCAATGATCACAAGCTTGGAAAAGAAATTCAACCATATGTGGTGGAGTTGGATGCCATACAGAATGCTTTCAGAAACAAGGAGAAGATGGTTGGAGACTTGAAGCAGCAAGTTGAGTCACTGCACAAGGTAGCAGAGGCACAGAAGAAGAAGAGTTTCTGGACTTTGGTGTCATCAGCAACAACAATTATTGCTGCAGCATCTGTTGCATATGTTGCTAAAGGACGCTGAGTAGTTCATCAGCCAATTTTGTTACAAGGACTAGGTTGCTCTTGGTTCTTGGATCAACCAGTCAAGTGCTACTTGACGGCACGGTGTTATCATGTTTGTCCTTTTTGAACTTCTAATCTAGATAATAATGTTTTTGGTAAAGAAATAGGTCTCATGGGATACTTTGATATGCTATGTTCTTTTGCCAGCTATATGAATGAAGGAATGAGGATATCTTATCTGAATCAATGGGATTCTCTGCCTTTTTTACTCTTCTGTTGTTTCATATTTGAAAATGCTCACATTTCCTTCTAGATTCCATCTTGTGAAGTATGTGGTGTGATCTACTTTGCTATATCCTTTTGTTGGTTAGGCATGTCTTGATGTTTGCTTGCTCACTTTTTTTCAATTGAGGAATGCATAATTTGGAGACAAATTTGGCCCAAAGATTATTCAGTGGGATCTCAGATTTCTATGCCTTTTGTCATTTAGGTCTTGCATACAATGAGACAAATGGTCTGTGCTGGAAAACTGTTCTGTTTTTGGAATATAAATAAATAATGAAATATTCAATTGATTCACCCTCTATAAAAGGCCATCTGTGCCAAATCTCAGTTCTGATGATGATACTGTCAATCATTCATCTTTGAGTGGTGGAAGAGACTAGAAATGTTTCCTTTCTGGCAGCCTAACTAGGTTTTTTATGACATGTGTGCAATGAGATAAATGGCATGAACTAGCAGGCTTTATCCTTGTTGATCAGACCATGGATGAATAGCATCTACTTGGAGCAGGGCCTGCCATGCCACTACATGGCTTCTGGCCACATATGGAATATTTCTGTGGATGATTAGATATTTTTAGCGCACAGAAGAGACCAAAAAATACAATCCAAGATTATATGGAATAGGAGAAGAATTTATGACCCCCTGGCCCAAGCATTTTTACGTTGGCTGGTTCACAAAGCATTTTTGTTTTTGGGCCGGGTTCCTAAGCTTTTCCCCCTGCAAACCTCTGTAGGACCTTTTGTCTTGTAAACCCAATTAAGCGATGAAGACGATCTTTCCCACTTGATAATTTCCAACTGCGTGCAGACGTGGATTAGGTCGGTTATCCAGGCATTTCCAAATCAAGTGTGTTTAGAATAGTTTAAACTATCGTTCTATTTTAAAAAGTATAAACTAATTTCCAAGTGTGTTTGAAGAACACTTTCGTTTTCATCATTAGACTTGTATTATTCAACAATTCAGTGATAAGCATGCTGACGACAAACATCTTCACATCATGGAAATGAATTATGGCTGCCATGGATCATATAGTATAGACCGATTCAACCGATTAAGAATATGTTTTCAAAGCCAAGAACTCTTGACTTTATATCAAAATAAGATATTGCTAACGTCATTTGATCTGATAATTGTTGGCTGATATGAGTTTTTCATAGTGGATGACGACTGTGTTTGGCGAAACCTCAAATTATATAAACAAACAACCACATCTGACAAACAAACCCACTTGTGTTCCTCTCCTGTTAATTAACTAATAACAAGCTTTCTGGGTCCTTTAATTTAAAATTAAGAAGAAAAAAAACACATTAATTAACACAAACAAGGCGTCATGATGTCATTTTCAGAAGCTTAGCTGTTGCTTGCTGTGCCAATTTTTAAATCATTGTGAAAGCAACTCACCCAGATTAGATGGCATTGTTTGATTCTGAGTGTGGTCCCTTAGAAAAGCACCCACAGGCCAACCACCACTAGTAGGGGTACTTTTTTCCTTTAGAAACAAGCCATTTTTTGCATTTCCTCTACCACCTTCTGAGTTACACATGCAGAAAAAGAGTGGAGAGGCATTCATGAACTGACAAGGATGACCCAAAATCAGTCTCCATCAGTCCTAAAATATGAACTCTTTCAATCATTTAGCATCCTATAGAGAATTAGAGATACAGATAATCAAGTTTACTTATATAAATCTTAAGTCAACTCCTGTTGAAAATTATCATTAAAGTTGTTGATTGTATGGTTTATGGAAACACAAATATCGGCTCAAAGCCTTCAACGTCCGTAGGAGAAGAAGAAACAATGTTATCCTCGTTTCACACGAGTTTTTCTGCTTCTGTATAGCTAGTGTCGTTTAATGTGTTTTTTTTCTTTTAAGGTCCAAAGTAAGCCACCTCTGCTTATTTCAACCATGTTTCAAACGCATATGCTTATGGAGATGCTGAGATGTGACATATTAGATTGTACTTTGGTGCCTGTATAATTTGTCATTTAGTGGCTTGTTTGCTCTTTTCTTTCCTCCTTTTCCTAGGCCTTTTAGTGAGCGACTTGTCCTAATACAATCAACATCTAACTCTGCCATCCCCGTTCTGCATAATGCTCCTGTAAGTCGCATTCAACTTCTCCAAAAATAAAGTTTCCAGCTTCTTGCTTCTTCCCACAGCCATTATTCATTTTGTGTCGAAGAAGAAAGCCCCATAAGAAGAACTTAGAGAGCTTTTTTAACTGATCTTAAGGAGAGAAAAGAGGAAAAGAAATACAAAACATGTTAAGAGTAGACATTAACATTCACATCAAATATTGGCATACCAAGTAACTGGAAAGCTTAAACAACAAAGGCAACAGCCAATACACAACCATTTTATATAATCTAGGACATAAGTATACACAATAATACATGACAACAATACCATGGAGGATGATTTTCCATCCATGTTCCGAATTAGCTATATATAACATAACATTAGCAAGTCACTGACTCATGGATCAGTCACTGGATGTCGGTGTTACACCAACAATCCTGAGTGTCTTCCTCTTCATTGTGGCCAGTAGTCGGAATCCTCAAATCTGGAAGTGTTGTGGGACTGCTAACCTTGGTTAATCGATCCTGCTGTCTGCAAAGCTTTATCTAACCAAAATACCAAATTTTCAGAAGCTCCGATTTGCACCAGAACAAAACATGCTGATCCAGCTATATGCAGATCCACATATACCTTTGCATCCAACAACCAAGCCTAGTCCTCCTCAGACAAGAACCAGACCCCAGCAGGATCTTTTAGTACCACAATTATCAATACAATAGTAATAATCACTATAGCTACACAATCTTACGTACTGCAAACAAACCCTTCATTATTCCGGGTGAAATGTCAAGCTTAGGTTATATATCACCGCACGCGATGAAAGTCAATTCTATTAACAGTTGGAACACACAAATTTACTTATCTCATCCATCACGGTGTAGAAATGGTCATTATTTGGCAGCAAGTAGAAACCAATTGTGGCCTGCTCAAGATACATAAGTTTGATGTTTTTGCCAGCCTTCTCAAGCCCTTTAGCATAAGCCAATTGCCAGTCCTGAACAAGATCCAAACCAGCCACCACGACAAGGCTCTTTGGGAACTTGATAGCTTCAAGGTTATTACCCCTTGGACCAAATGGGTTACATGCCGGGTGGTCCCTGTCTTCCCCTTCAGGGAGAAAAGCTCTCCAATACCAGTCCCGGTCTTGGATGGTGACAAAGTATTTCCCGTCCAATCGCTTCTCAGATTCAGTTCTCTCCTGCCCACCAAACATTGGGTTGAGCAGTATATTTCCCAATACATCAATTCCAGATTCTACTGCTCTTAAAGCAACATTGTGTACAATGTTCCCACCAGAGCTATCACCAGCAAGATATATATGAACTTTTGAGTCCTTTGTACTTTTAAGCCACGATCTAGAGTCGACCCACTGCAGGGCTGTCCATCCATCATCATAGGCACAAGGAAAACGATTTTCAGGTGCCCGGCGGTAATTTACAGAGACCACTACAGCCTTGCAAATACCAACTAGTCGGCGGCACAGAATATCATATATGCCACTGTTAGCAGAGGAGTGCGCAAAGCTTCCACCATGGAAGAAAATGATGACAGGCAAAACCTCATTGCTCACAGGTTTGTCAAGATTAAGAATATTCAGCACAGATTCTTCAGCATTGGCTGGTTGATAGATTCGAGTAAGCAGGCCCGTTTCACGGTCAATGATGACATCAAATGAGACAACCCCATCAACTGGTTTTGCATTGGCTGGCACTTTCCGATCAAGGAATTCTGCCAAGTGACGGTTAAAAGTCCCATCAGGCCGACGAAGAAGATTGTAAGACAACTTGAAATTGGAGATGAGGACCCATGTATTCAATGGAACCACCGTCTGTACAGAGCACAAGATCCCAAAAAAAAATTATGTATGTTAAATTCATATTCCAACATAACAAGATAAACATGACTAAGAATCAAGAACTCCAACCAACACCAGAGTAATGGCATCTATAAACAAAGCTTTTTGCTATTGTTTCAAGGTAACAGAGACATCATGGAGCCACCACAAATGAAGGACATGAACACTTTGACAAGAAAGCACAAAAACCAAAATCTACTAAAGCATTCCCATAAAGCAGTGGATTTGGCCATACAAGCCTAAAATCTATTACCAGTCTTCAAATACAATCATGTTCATCTAATCAAATTTCTTGAAGCTGAAGCTGAAGCTCAGCAGATACTCAGCCTCCCATCCCAATGCCAAAACCACAACACTAAATCCCAATCACATCTCCAAACAAGAAGAGCTTCAAAAACCTGATGAACTCGAACAAGTATAACAAACCCAATACCATATCTGTCCAAATCCTAAAGAAAAACTGGTCAAAACCTCAACTTAAACAAGAACAAAGTCTTCAGACCAACCAAAGAAACAAGAACAAATTCTGGCTTTCTATAACAAAACCACAAACCAAACCCTATAACACAGAGAACCCATTAAGATAAGCAAACCATCACCGTAAACCAAAACCCAGAGAAGCTGAGCCAAAACCAAACTTTGAATTAAACAAAAGATCAAAGAAAAAGTGGTTACCCTGGATTCATTAACGTTGACTTCGTTGGTCCCAGCCATGGAAACTGGTCTGAAGAAATTCCACACCAAAAGCTTAGCTAGTAGAAAACCCAACACAGATCCTCTGAGAGCAAACCCACTTCAGAAAGACAAAGCCTCACGTAATCACACTCAAATAAGAAGCAAAGCCAGCCAGGCTGCACCTAACCTTTGAATCTCTCCAACTTTAAGATCGTACTTCGTTAACCCATTGGTCCCAGACAAAACAAGCCCCTAATCTCTAGGGGAAACCTCTCTCTGCATTCATGTGATGAAATGACAAATCTCACTACAATAAAACAGAGCAATAGAGAGTGTGCTTGTGTGGAGCGGGTGCAGGATAAGAGGGTTGGCGTATTTTAGCATACAAGTGAAGATGTATGCTAATGTGCGAGATAAGTGCAGAGATGACGCGGGAGATAGAGGGGAAGGGGACAAAGTGAGCGGCCGAAAGAAACACGGTTAGTGGAACCCACCTATCCAAAAGAAATTAAATTCGTTAATTACTTCATTTTTTTAAATTTCTTTTTGAGAAAATAAAAAGGAAAAACAGGAGAAAGTGAGGAATTTTAAATATTTGGATGGATGGAGCAATAAAAGCTTCAGGGCGTGTGGTGGAAGGCAGGGCACGTGAGGACAAACAGAGCCCGTCCGAACACAAAGTACTACTTTTGGCGGTGCCACAATGACCGTTTTGTCTTTCATTTTGGATCGTATTTACGGAAATGTCATTGTGAGTGTGAGTAGATATTTTTTTAATCGTAGCATGTGACGCGCGCGTGATACAACTGTAAAAAAAAAATATAGTGATGCATGAAGGGTTAATTCCTCATTGTTGATGCATGTCGATAATTAGATTCTGTCCAAGCACATATAGATGACGCTATTAACATTATGTAACGAAAGATTTTAGAGGGTGATTCTCAGTAGTTGATGATAAAGAATCAACAAAACACTAAACGGCTAGCATTCGTTAACACGAGTGTGAGTGGTTGTCGAGGTGACTTACGCTATTAATATTTGTAATGAGATATTATGGTGGGTGGTTTCTACCTAATAAGTGATGAAGGCGGGTCAACAAAACATTAATGGCTAACATACATTAACACGAGCGTAAGTTTGTGCACACAATTGGTGCTATCAAAATTTGTAATGAGAGATTCAAGTATGTGATTCCTAATATGTGATGAAAGTGGATCAACAAAACACTAACGGCTAACATCCACTAAGATGCATGTGACGTGGATGTACACGTGATTGACATTATCAAAATTTGTAACGAGTGATTATGATAGGCGATTCTCAATAGTTCATGAAAGCGGGTCAATAAAACACTAACGGCTAACATCCACTAAGATGCATGTGAGTTGTTGTTACAAGCACAACTTAATTGCATACCCAAATGTACAAGATTTGTGCTATCGTAGAAGTGTATATTATAGTGTATTTTTAAGCTCTCTTGTAATGCTTAATGTAGATTTAAGTGATGATTAATTTTGCTCCAATATATTCGTTGAATTGTACACTTTCCGTTTGGAGAATAAAAGCAAAAGATACTTCACGATCAATCAACACTCTTGAGAAAAAGCTGTTGCCTCCTTAAGAACACATAATACATGTGACAATACTTAAACAGTAAACAAAACTAATCTTCCACAATCATGCTTTTCCCCCTTCCAAAATCCATTGGGACAATGTCACGTTTTCACATTTAGTCGTTGTCATTAAGCCCATAACGAGCTAAAGCTCAATGACAGTTACATTTCAAGCTCTGTTGCTTCATTACTTTTTAACTTTTTGAAAACAAAGAACACCCTTTCATTTCATCAGTAAACGTTTTTTCTTTGCATTTCCAACACTTATTTATTTACTTATACTTGTCTCCTTTCCCGGAATGAACTTTTAACTACTTTTTTAAACGAGCCGTTTCTCCTCCGGTTTAAGGTTAAGAACTACTCGGCCTTCTTTAGTTAGTGTTAGTGATCATTACCCGATATATTTTTTCTTAATTAATTATGTTTAGATGTAAACATTAATAAAAATGATATGTTACATGTGTGGCCTTCCTTCCTTTCCTTTTGAAGGGACGGTACGGCTTAATTTTCATTGTGTTTCTCTCATCTCATGCAAGAAAACCAAAAACCAAAAAAATATAATGAACAAACTAGTAGTAGTACGTCATTTGCATTTTAAAATTTTAAAAAATTGGAAAGAAAATAGTACGTCCTTTGCATCTTGATTGCCTGTAAAGTAAGAAAGAAATATCATAAAAAGAGGAAAAAGAAAAAAAGGACTTATACTCTGTGAGTAGCAGTAGTAGAACTATTTGTAGGGCAGTTGGCAACGAAAACAAACAAAGCACACTGGCTGGGCAAAGGCGTGCATCATCTCATCTCTCTCATCTCTCTCGTCTCTCTCATCTCTCATCTTTCTCTCTAGTCAGTAGCAGTCGCTGTCGATGAACTTCACCATCAAAGTTCTACTTTGGGTGGGACTTTCACTATTATTGTTCATGCACACTGCCTTTGGAACCATTGCTCTAACTGTGAGGTCAACAATTACCCACATTTTTTGGATTCTTCTGCCTCCTGCTGCGTTTGGCTTTTTCCCTTTTCTTCTTCTTTTTATTTTCTCTTTTTTAACTCCAAAAAATTTGAAATATTTCCATCATCCTCCTCCTCTCCAACTTCAAGCCCTGCCCTTAATGAGGGAGGGCATCTTTGTATAGTTGTTTGCCTACGTGTATGGCCCAAGATTCAACACCTAGGCTAACCCTTTCTTTTTGCCTTTATCTCTTTTGTCCTTTTCTGCATTTTGGCTCTTCTTTTGCCACATTTCTGTTCGTTATTGTCCTTATCTCTTTCTCTCTCTGACTCTTTTTCTGTCTTATTTTGGGCCTAATGGGCCTTCCTTCGTTCATAAAATGGGCTTGGACATCAGAATTATATTTGTCTAGGTTGACTTGCAGCACAAGGCGGGTAAGGTGTTTTGTTATGTCTAATAAGATTAGGAACCCGAGCTCCTGTGTTCGAATTCCTCCCCCCTCAAAATCGTTTACATTAAGAAGAGCCCACAGACGGTTTATTTCATCATTATATGCCAATATGGGAGCCTACTTGATCAGATGATTAATCAAGCGTGTTGTTCATCGTACTAAATCATCAATAATAATTACAGCTAGCTGGAAAATGGAATCTTTTTTCAAGTTTCAAGGGCCCTTTTCTTTTTCTCCTAACTAGTATAGGTATCCAAAAGCCAACAAGAACCCGGTGCTGTACGATCCACAGTAATTTTTTTTATAAAAACAGAACCCTGTGCGGTACGATCCACAGTAAAAAATGTCAAACGGTACCGCTTTACCCTTCATGGGTGATTGATGCGTCATGTCATGATTCAGTGTCATGCAGCTCATAGATTCTAGAATCGTATTCCGTGGGCCAACCAATTCTACTCCTACACGTACGCTTCACCATTTGGGCTGCGATCCAATAGATCATAACAACAACAGACCCCAAAAGTTAAGAAACTTCAGGCCCATAACTTTTGCCCAAACGTCGTCGTTTTTTTTTCGGGCTATTTTCCTGTTAACCGCGAAACGAGAATCGCTAAGCGGTGGACCGTGGGAAAACTAAAAAGGACCAAAATTCAATTTCCCGCGAATTTCAACAGGGGGTGCCACGCTGGCGATCCGTGTGACCGCAATCTCCGCCAATCAGAGCACAGCTTGACCTCTTATATATTCCAAACCCCACTCACATTTCAGTTTCACGTTAAGAAAACCCATCACTCTTTCTCTCTGCCTCGCACGCCTCTCTCACTCGCCCAGGACTTGTTCTCTGTTCTAGGGTTAGGGTTTTGTGATTTCAGTGTTGATTTGGGAAAATGAGTTCTAAAGAAGCTGGTTCGACGAAGGGAGGCAGGGGCAAACCGAAGGCCTCCAAGTCTGTATCGCGGTCTCATAAAGCAGGGCTCCAGTTTCCGGTGGGCAGGATCGCTCGATTTCTTAAGGCTGGCAAGTACGCCGAGCGGGTTGGTGCCGGCGCACCTGTATATCTCTCCGCCGTGCTCGAATACCTTGCTGCGGAGGTTAGTTTGTGTTTGATCTAGATGTGTTTTTACTTTTATGGGTCGCTTGTGATTAATTGAAATTTTGGTTTTAATTTTGTTTGTGTAATGGGATTTCATGTTTGAGGGCCTTGATTGGGTTCGGTTAGGGTTTTTGTTTCTGAGTTTAATAGGATTGTTTAACCTAGATCGAATTTGTTGGTTGTGTTATTTGGATTTGAAATTGATTTTTGTATTTGCGTTGTGTTCTTTTGGTGAAATGAGTTGAAGTTTCATGTCTTATTTGTATTGAATTGAGTTTTATAGGTTAATATTTTCATGAAAGTGATGGATTGTTGTAGTATGGAATTTGTATGGGTTTGATCTGACTTTTGGTCTGAAATTGGGTGTTTAGGTATTGGAGCTTGCTGGAAATGCTGCAAGGGATAACAAGAAGAACCGTATTGTGCCAAGGCACATCCAACTGGCTGTGAGGAACGACGAAGAGCTAAGCAAGCTATTGGGGTCTGTGACCATTGCTAATGGAGGAGTGTTGCCAAACATCCACCAAACTCTTTTGCCGAAGAAGGTGGGCAAAGGCAAGGGCGATATTGGATCTGCCTCGCAGGAGTTCTAGAGGGTTCTCTCTCTTCTGTGGAGTTTATGAGTAGTTACTGCAGTTGTACTATATGAAGTTGTTTTTTAATTTTTTTGGGGATAGAGCTTGATGTTTTGGTACTTGGAATTGGTATGCTATAAATGAAACTTTGTGTTAGGATTTTCTCAACTAAATCCCCTTTTCAACTTCTTTTGTTCTCCAAAACCATCTGGGGATGTTTAGATATTATTTGTGCCTCTGGGTATTTGATTTCACTTCATGAGGTGAAAAGAGTTTTAGATCAACTATCTCAAATCAAGTTAAAAAATGGAGGCATATTGTTTTTGTTGTTAGGCAGCTTTATCTATATCTCTTACTAATAAATCAATCCTCAGTTTTTGGCCTTCTAATCTCGCGCCGGTCTTCTCCAATTGTAAACACGACCAACTGTATTTTTCAGACCATAGTAAACCAATTCCGAAGGAAATTCCACAGATCATTCAATCAGAGACTTATTAAACGACATAGCGCATCACCTGGTTCAACTAGTTTATGTGTCAAGCCAATACGATCCATTTAACCAACTTCTTTCTGTCTTCGTGTCCTTTGAACGCGGCATTAAGGTTCTCTGTGCTCTGCTTCAACAACAATTTCATATGGAAGTTGACCAATAATGGGTTTTAAGTTGACCAATTTCATGTTTGATATCCAGTAATTCAAAAGTTTTTGGAACGCTAGCCTAGGTATATAACTTAAATGGCTGCTGCAAGTTGTAAAAGAGGGGTTCATGGTGAGAGCAGGGTAGAAATGATCTTCCAGAACAAGTTGCTCATCACATTATCTCCTTCCTTACTAGTACTGCAGACCTCACCAGTTTTGGCACAGTATCCAGGACACCTCCATCTCTCATCTCCATCCTTGAATCTTGTCCAACTTTCTGACCCGAATGCCAGCGGGTATAGTTGTTGGTTTCTTTGAACCGCCTCTTCATTCTTAGTCTTAATAAAAAGATACAGCAGCTTGGCGGCTTTGGCAACGCTATGGCATTGTCAAATCATGGGAGCTATCTCGTAAGGCACTGATCCGTAGGGTTGAAGTGCTTGATATCAACATATACAATGAAGGGAGGGGAACAATTTAAATTTCCAGGTTGGCTCTTTCTTTCTGAGTTTTTAAGGTTTCTGTCGGTGAGCATGTGTAATGCAACTATCAAAGTCCTGCCCAGCTCGTTGTTCCAAGTTGGAACACTTGAATTTGTAACGTGTTGATATGGATGAGGGGTTGTTCAAATGGATCTCCTCTCACTGCAGATGCATTAAGGAACTGCGTCTTGAACATGTTGGGTTGGCAGATATCACCATTGAAAGCTCGTCTTTGAAATCCTTTAGCATTGTTGCTGGTGGCGATAAACTTAAAATATCAGGTGAGAAACTTGAAGATATGCACATCAGGTGGCGGACAAATTCGTCCGGCCAATCGTTGAACATTGTTGCTCCAAGCCTTACATATTTGGAATGGATTGGGAACACAATCAATCACCAGCTGGGGAAATTATTGCATTTGGAAAAAGGAGAGATTTGTCTGGTTGCTGATCACAATAGCTTTGGCAAGGTGTTTGAGGTTTTTCGGAGTATACGCAGGGAAAAAGTTATAGCGACTACTCTTGAGCCTTTTTCTTTTGGTTCAATACTAAATATCTTTCCTGTCTTGGTATGCAATAGAGCTAATAAATTTATGTATCTTACATTTCGGATTTGCATTGAAAGAACATTCACATTTATGCTCCAAGTTTTGTTTGAAGATCAGTCTAAGAGAAGTGCTTTGTTTATGGTTTAACGTTGGCTAGTTGATGTCTATTCGTCTTTGCAGGCGGGCCAATGCCATTAAATGATGTTTCTTATTTGTGTATCACCATTGGAAGCTTTAAGGATCACTTAGCCCCTGAATTAGCTAATCTTTTTAGGAGAATGCCTAACTTGAGTACTTTGCGCATGAAGTGCAATCCACTGCCCGAATCCCATGTAAGTACAAATTTGTGTTCCCCCCTCTCTCTGTACATTTTGCCATTCTCATTTCTGGAATTATTGATCTTCTTCTTCTTGGTGCCTTTTTCAGGGTTCCGGGTTTGGCATGGAGTTTTGGAAAATGCAAAACCTTGCTTTTATTTCTCAGCTTAATGAGGTAACTATAGAGCTATACGAGCTTTCCCAGCTTAAGAAGATTTATTTATGTTATAATACTTGTATCCAAACCCTAGCGTGGATTTATTTATGTTATAATACTTGTATCCAAAGCCCAAAAAGCCAAATACCGGTTGCACTTACGCAAACATTAAAAAACAAAAAGATAAAAATTAGGGTTGGAATCTGGACCAAAGAAGAATATGGGATCGCAGTCACCCTACTTCTTTTGCTTATATGAATGAATGGTAAGCAAGCACTCTAATTAGGGTTTTATTTTGGTTCAGTGTATAGTAAATGAGTGCAATTTGTTAGCAATAGTCAATTAATGAGGATTAGTTTGGCACCTACAATGGTTGGTAGCCTACAATGTTTAGTCAATTAATGAGGATTAGTTTGGTTGCCTAACTAGGTTGGTTGCCTAACTTGGTTGGTTGCCTAACTTGGGGGGCTTGACTAATGTCTTAGGAACTTGTATATATATGTGTTGATTGTAAGTAATGAAACATAAGTGAAAATCAGAAAATATTCTACAACTCTCATTCTCTCTACACTTTCCACTCTCTACTCTCAATATTCTCTATGTTTTAGCATGGTATCAGAGCCTAATGGCTAATCCTTAAGATCCTCTATCAAATTGAGAGTCGTTGGCGTTTTTTCATGTTGCTGTAAATTCTCTTGTTTCCATTAAATTTCCTCTCTTTTATCTGTATGGGCAATAAGTCCCTTGGCCACGATGGCCTAATTTGTTTCCTATGGGCAGTACGTTCCTTGATC